CCGTTGCGCTTCGGGGGAACAAAGGGTTGACTCACGTCCGGGCTCCAGTCGGCGGAGAAAGGAGCCGGGCTAAAAATAGTACACTGGCAGTTACGAGTGCGGCCGTTGGACCTGGCCTACGCAGATCGTGTCTTATATTCTTGCCCAGACATAGGCTTCCCAATTACCAAGCTACATATTAACGCATGTAACTACCTACTTAATTATCTTCAATCTAAAATGTTGCGTACTGCTTTACCCAGTGTATTTATTATTCAGTTATCCTTAGAACTACTATCCAACCTTCATGTTCGGAAGTAAAATTCTGTTTATGATTTTAACTGTAGTTTACCACGGAAAACATATGCGGTAAATAAGTATAGTAGTACCTATGTAATATAAGTTGGAGTAGGAAAATTCTGTTCCGTGAAATAATTATGTATTGAAGGTGTCCCAGACGGTATCGCATTTCGCCAATAGAGCAAGAGCATACAAGGGAATTCTAAAGTTACTTATTGTGTACAAATGAATGCTACGCTAGCACTACTGAACTCCCACGATCGACACTTATTGTTTGCGTTGCACTCCAACATTTCTGCAACGTCTAGGTGTTGGGAAACGACAGCGAAGGTGTCGACTTTGAGGTTAAAACCGGCTGTTTGAGAAACCTTTCGAGTTTAGATTGCGAAAAGCGTGGAAAGCTCGTATTTACTTGCATAGAATTATACAGAAATTGTCTAGTACTTACCTACGGCAAAATCGGACATTTGAGTGCAATCGTAAGATTTTACCTGCCTGCGAATGTGAAAGAGGAGCTAATCAAAGCGTGCTTGTATGCTCTCAACTTAACCAACTGACTAACAGTAGTTCTGTGGAAGTTTGTTTATGACGTCAGACAACATTTTGGTTATACAGCAGGTTGCCATACAATCAATCTTTATCAGCACACGTGGAGAGCTAATCGCGTCGCGTGACGACCTCCACGCTGTTACTGCTCACACAGTTCTGTTTATTTTGGATACGATTAAAAAAGTGTCTATTTTAACCAGCAGTCATAGATAATGTTGGTACAGCTATCTATATTCAAAATGATACATAATAAGATACGATACAAATACAACAGAAAAAAGCACAATCGATTAAAATGCAAGCCTAACGTAGGTATTTATAATGAACGCAGTTAAGACTATATGAGATAATAATATGAAATCGCACATTTCGTAATAAAGATAGGTAGATTGCCATACACGTAAACCTCAGACTTTACGTAGACTCTAGTTCGCTTAGTAAGCACCGTAGGTATACAACCAAAGAACTAGAAGCACAAGAATAAATAAGGTAATAATAGGTGATGTGTTGCGATTTGGCGAACAATATCGGCAAGTTGCGTGCAAGCGTGGCACGAACACGGTCTACCGCCCCACGTGATTACACGCCTTACTGACCAACTAACTACACTGGCGAAATAGTTAACACTGCCAGTCGCTTTGGATTGGTTGAAAATGTTTTACCAAAAATCATCAATATAGTAGGTAAAGTACCAATGAATTGTGTTTGTTTAATGAATGATTAAAATATAAGTTTAATAATATTCCTTCCCATCTTAGGTGTTTCCTTATACAATCGTTAACGGAAAATTATACAAAAGTCCAAAAAGTAGTATCGAATAGGCCTAACCTATTGCAAAAATACCTATTCAGACATATCTGTGGCATACAAAATCTTTCTGAATACAAAATATTATCAGGAGCTTCCCACCAATAGTTTTGGGACAAAGGGGAGACGGAACAAAAAGCTCTTTATCTGAATCTCAGAGAGGGACAAAAAAAACGCAGCCGTTGTATTTGTAAATATATGGCAGGTAGAAGGTTGTAGGTGTATTCAACGGTTTAAAAAGATTTTTTTTGGAATCGAATAATATAAGAAACGTGAAAAAAACCACACGAATACGATGCACCTTTCCAAATTCCCACTGCAGTTATTATGCATTAACGCTAAGTCTTCGAACTACAATAATAACTTAAATTTACCTAATATAGTGAGGAAAATCTGTCTAGGTCAAGTTATCATTATCACTTTAGAAGTCCAAATAATAGGTATTTATGTTTCTTGTAATCAGAATAATTTTCAGTTTGAGATTTTCAACAAACTCATTGCCTCAACACAAATTAAAGAAGCAACATGCTTCACAAGCTGAACCTTTTACTAACACCGCTCTTAATTTACGTTATTGCACACCTGTATAAAGCTTAAGTATGTACCTAAATCTTTAAATTCTAAACTAACCCTCTTTCCTTTTCACGTGGACTTATATACTAGAGGCACTGGAGCCATACAACTCAACACAAAACAGAATATCCCCGAGCAACAAGTGTCTTTTACGCAAAGTAAAAGACCACAAAAACTTCGAGCAGGTAGCTTTTGTATTGATCAAACCATTTATAACCTTAAGGGTACGCAATAAGGCCGGTTTCGCCGCATCATTGCGAATAGCTTCCAAAACTGGCTTCGTTAGTCAATTTTGATCCCTATCGAGATAGCTTTAGTTACGTTTCATAGAATCCACGACCAAACTATACCACTTAGCTTCGTCTGTAACTCACCCCTGCCGAGATTTGAAGAGGATCAAGCATTTATTTAAACACGCGAGATAGGCATGACTATTTTAATAAAATTCAATATGAACAAGATGAAAACTGGTTCAGGTACTTTTAATTCTGATTAAGAAATGACAGGTTGGCTTCAGGGGTTCCCGTAGATGGCTATTAATTTTACACATATTATTATTATTTATTGTGCCGTCACACAGGCTTATAGCTTACTTTTCAGTCTTTGTATTTTTATTTGTCATGATTGAAGGAGGGCATACCTCTCGTGTGATGTAGATACACAAATTATACACAAGAGACAAGAAGTTAACCTAAGTACACGTATCTTCCGGTGCCTGTGTGGTAATCAAATAAATATAACCTCTTATTAGTACTTTTACTTTTCTACGGAAACTGTCTACTACGAGCTAAGTCGTGTTAGATTCTAAGCCAAGCTGAAGTTACATTATGAAGGAGTATTCCGAACAAATTGTTGAAGAAATTTAATTTTTAGCTTTATCGCGCTTTTCAATGTTTATATAGCCGGTAGGTATATCTTAATCAGGTACCTACACGTATCATCAATTGAATAGTATTGAGAGTGATATATAACAGTGAAGTCCGACAAAAATGAAAACTGTTTGAGACTGAAATGAAGTTGCGAAGAATTTTAAACAACTACTACCTAGTTCTGCTGAGCAATTTTTTCGTAACTTTTTGACCAGTTAAAATGACTTCAGTCTAACTACTTGATTGATTGATAAAATAAGATTTACTCAATTGACAACTTAAAGGTAAGGTTGTGTATGCTAGGTATACATTTTATCGGTTTTAAGAATAAGCTGCAACTTTAGCAGCAAGGCAACATCATGCGGGTGCACGCAAGTCACAGCAACTGGTTTTACCTATTTTCCGTATCGTGTAATTATGGTATGGTGGTAAGAACATTGACTTAGGCGGGAAATTAACCGCTCTTGTGATCACTACACCAGAAACAAATTGAAAAAACGTTTCAACTTTCATAACTACAATTACTGCAATTGCAATAAACAATAAAGTTTAAATGTGGGTAATTCAGTGCTCAGAACGATCGTTGTTTGACAATTATCCCAGTCACAAATAATAATTTACGAGTTCTGTGACCCATAAAAGGCTATTATGGTTTGACTGTTCTTTGTTTTTTTATCCGACTGTAGTTTAACATAAGGTTTACTCTGTCTAGTATTAACACGCCAAGAATTTGATTGAAAAAGAGAAAAAATAATCCATAAAAGTAAATACCTATCGCCGCATTTCCGGAAAAATATACTAAACAAACATATGTTTTCAAATTAAAGCTGTTGATACTGAGGTTGATAATTATGTTAAATAATAAAATGCATTAACGATATTTAAAATGTACTTAGGTGGCTGTCTAATAATAACAATAGTACTATGTTACAAACCGCGTACCTATTTACGTATCTATATTGATACCGAAGTAGCTGCCTATTACTTGTGAAATAACTAGGTAGGTATGTTGACTTGACTCTATTAAATGTTAGTAATTTAACTACCTAATTTGGTTTGCAAGAAGTTCGTCTAATTTATATACCTTCCCTGATGTTTTAAATTTAAATGTTTAGATACCTAGTTAGGTTAGGTTATAATATTAATATTATACTTAAACTGTAATTGTGAAATCGTAAAACTATAAGATCTATTTTTTTTTTCATTTATACTTATCAGTTCTAAAATACAGTCGTGGAAATAGTACAATGGCCTTTACCTACAAATATTATAAACTTCTTCACAGGTTAATTATATGAACACTTGATATCAAACATCTAATCGGTTGGTGGATTTATCTTTGATAAAGTGGGTACGGGGTGGCTTAGCATATTATTACCTACTTATTTGCACAGCAATTTATGTTCTTACTTAAATATTGAAATGTTGTCTTTGAGTTTAGATACCTACTGGATCATTAGCGAACGTAAGTAGGTACGTAATATCTAACTACAAGTAATTGCTACCATAAAACTGCTGATATGAAGGTATTTCTACTGCCACGATGTTATAGTAATTAATTTTGACATGGCATTAGTGTGGTGTAAGTAGGTATTTTCGGTTACTTTGTTTGTATTTTGTACAGCAAGTCATTCGAAATACCTACGATTAGGTTTTAAAAATATCTACAAAATTGTTACTTTTCTACTTAATTATATAGCAGAAACTGAGGCTGGAGTGGAGTTTAGAGTACGCGCGGCCCGGTAGATTCAAATTTGTTTACGGTTGTTGAAATAAAACTAAAGTCGTGACTTTGGTAGTCGTAGGTAAGACAACATAAAATCGCGTAAAATACGTTTAGTTATTAATGTGTAGCCGTGTAATATATAGGGAAAATGTAGTATTCTAAAAATTCATTATTAAAAATAAATAATTCACACATACCTTCAAGAACAGATCACCAAAGTCGTACAGCGCAGACTGATGCATTATGGCAGTAGACATCATGCAAAACCAACTCGACACTTAATCCAGGTTTTAGTGCTTAATTTTCTCGTATCAAATATCTGCAAACTGACTGATCCACTGAAGCACGAATTTGTAAGGTAGACGAAATCACTGTAATTTTTAGGTTAGCCGATGAAAGTTCACGATACTTTTTAACGAGAATTTTATGAAAACCTTTACAAATATGGTCCTTGTAATAATCTAGTAAATCGTTACGCTTTTGTTTTGTCGTTCGGTGACCACAGATTGTGTCCGAACTAGTTGGCCAGGGGCAATTTTTTTTTAATTAGCCCTCCACGATTGAGCCAGATCAGTATTTTTGAACACAATTTCGCAATCGTTGCGAAAATGTACAAAACAGTCCTTTGTTTCGAAATGTCTCCTTCACTTTTTCGCGTCTATACGGAAATTCACAGATTTTGGTCAAAATTCTGCGCGAACTGTCACGAAGTCAACTTTTATGATAAAAACTCTTTTTAGGTTATCGACTGTATACTCCAATACTTTTTAATTCTGGGCGTATAAATCGTAAGATAAAAAAATAAATCGCAGAGTCAACGTCCGCGCAAGACGCACCACACGTACATTCCGTATCACGCTTGCTCGCGCACTGAGCTTGTTGTGTTCGCCTTCGCCCGTGAAACGCCGGCAGGCCGGCAGCGGGCGGGTGGATTTTGTTTTCAAATCAAACATCGCGATCACGTTTTGGAGCGAGATTCGTTTTGGTTCGGGCGAGTTCGGCAATATTCGGCTGTATGTTTTGTTTGTTGCTCCGCCCGCCATAACAGTCATACAAAAAAAAACGTCAGTCATCCCATCTTTTATTATCTGTAGGTATACAATTCTACATAACAATTTGAATATTTTATATATTATTGGTTCTGCTGTTTTAAAGTTTTTAATTTTCTTTGAATAGAGTATACCGGCCTATATTATTTAAATATGGTTTTCGTCAAGTAGGTCGCTCTCCCTAGTTTCTAGGCAGGTACCTAATGAATGGGCTCGCTGTCATTGCAGCACTAAGTCCCATCTTTGAGGAGTGACTCGAGAGACGCTACGGACGACGAGCATGGGTAACTCGCCGCCCGACCAGATCCAGACCCGAGTATACGGCGCATTCCGCGGGCAACTCAAAGAGCCATTAGACAACCACAGATGGGCCCAATAAGGCTAATGCCGATACGGAGCCGCAGAAGACTTAACATGAAGAGCAGAAGTGGCAACAGGGTGGTTTTAGTCAATAAGAGTCTGACACACACTCTCTCTCGCCTAACCTAAGGCAGAAGAAGTAATTGGATGATTTTACGCCCTCAAAAAAGGCAGATAATTTAGTGTGGGTGAGCTATGCTTCGTCACGAATGGGCCGGGTCGACCGGAGTGATACCACGGCCGAGCAGAAAACCGACGTGAAACAACGCTTGCGTTGTATTTCATCGTGTGAGTTTAGGTTACCGGAGGCCCAATTAATGAACAGAATCACTAAGTACTAAGTAGGTAAATTTGCAATATGTACTTCCAATTACAGATTTATGAAGATAGAATGCATTACTTTATTGAATTTAGGCCTAATTGAATGAAAAGTCATCGATAAATTACAATTTTAGCTGTTTTTAGCGAGGAAGTCGGAACGGATACCAAGTAAATATGAGTGATTGAAGCCCTGCACAAAAACTTGCGATTTTAGAGCTGGTTCCACCAATCGAGACGTCTTCCAGTCACCCAAGCAGGTAGCGAACATAGAAGCGCATAGCGATTTTTTAAACTTTGAAGATGGATAATGGATAGAGTATTTATTATCTAAATATGTAAGTAGATACTGAAATACTCCAAATAATAAATAAGATTGGAATACTTCAATAGTTTGAATGCAGTCTTTGAGAAAAGTGTATATCTAAACGAAAAAAGACTAAGACTTAGTTCTTAAAATTTAGTATGATCTTAATTCTATTTACTTAACTCTTCTAACGCATTTTCAAGATTTTTTTAAACTCATCGTAAGTTCGCTGATTCTTAACAGCAAGACCTTACCTTAACCGCTTGCGTCCGCGTCTCGGGAACAACTTTTTATTATAGCATTCGTTGGTTGCAAACCCGTTTGACGGTTTTAGTGTTATGCGCTATGTTGCACACACCAAGCTTAAAGAATCGGAATCGAGCCAGCCCTTACATTGTTGAGAAAATGAGACTATACCGCGCCATAATTGCGAAGATTCATTTTGCTCGATGTAAATAAATTGGCTAACACTTTTGTTTACTTCGAGACGATTTGACTTTTGTGATGGGTTATTGTACTGTGTATCTTATATTCGTTGGTATTGATGCAGTTAGTATAAATTACCAAGAGCCAAGTTTTGTTACAGCATCAATATAGTTACACCAAGTTTTTGCAGAAAGATGCCATCAGACCTCAGAGAAAGGTGGGTCGTGGGTGCTACTGCCTATTGTCCTCTAGATATAATCAGTATTATAACACCCACAGTTGTGGATGGGGGATGTATGTTCTGACCGAAGCCAAGACTCCTTGTTATTCAAACGATTCCCCCATAAATATAATAATACGACTAGAAAGGAAACCGTTACACTTATTATAATTAGTTAATAAAGTAGCTGAACCTTATCGCAGGAAATATATGTATGTATGCCGACAAAATAACAACGCACCTAACTAGCATTGTTTTTAATCCCACATTATTAATATAACATATTAAGCTGAAAACTTCCTGTGAGAATTTAATTAATGGATTTATTCCGCCGAAGTCATTTATGATATAGAATTATTTTTTAGAAACTTCAAAAATTGGACACATTTTATTCCTAAGTCAAATAGTATGAAAAAATTAAGAATCTTATTATTCTTGCAAATTGCTGGCTGAAGGCTGGCAGTCTCTCATGGGAAATATTTTGAAATGCGAGTTGAAATATAAACTGGAGCGATGTATTTAGGGGTCTCTTGATCATTGGAATCCCACAAGAGCGGCCTTATTTCGTTCTTTTAGCGAAAAATAATTTATTTCAAAGTGCGATAAGTTTAGATTAATCTGTGAATTTGAATAACGTACCTACTAGAGACTTTTACACTGATTTTATTCATTTTAATTCCGAATTACATAATTATACACATTGTGACAAAACTATACAAATTGAATTATTCTACAACAAGATACCTACAGAATAAATTATAGTTACTATATATACACATGTGTGTAGATTAACTTTTGCACAATATTATGTATATCTAATGAATTGTAAAACCAAACAGACAAATTGCCTAGGTTATATACGATAGGTATAAATTGACAAAATTAGTAAGTACGCACTTTTTTCTAGATACACATATAACTTCATACCTGTCTCCCATGGGGGTAGGCAGAGACTATGGAACTACTTTATTCTAGTCCTTTATTTATTTAGATAGTACTATATCTCCGTTAGAAAACCTACAAAACACGTTTGGGTCAACAAAAACAACGTTCTGCAAAGAACAACTCAGTCGAAATATTAAAATTAATTTATTCACGGAACCAAACGTCAACAAAAATGTTTGTTGTGCGACCGCCTTAGTATATTATGGGTCAGTGTCAAGTGTCGGTCACGTAATGCTTACTCCTAAACTTATGGCGCATGGTAGATGGTAATACAATACATTGTGTGCAAACAACACTAGGTGATAGCTCAGATAGCCGTTGACAAAGCTATATCTACACATAATTAGTGAATCAGCACCCCACTATTATAACTATGAAACCTTGGAATTAATCAATCAATGTCCTCGTGTTTTTACAATTAAAAATCATCTGGCAGTATATAATTTAGAATGTCATTAATGTTACATTCTTATTCGTGATTGCACCTAATCGCTGCTATCATTGGTCTAAATAATATTTGCTCGCTTCATTCGTTCTATAAACGCTGTCTGATTGACAGACTGACGTAATAATCAACGTACTTACAAGTGTAAGTAGAGTTTTTGTTAACCCCAGAACCTATTAGAGATGCTCAAATATTTGACATATTATTTTACCTGTTACTGGTTATATAGAGTAGGAACTACATACATAGGTACCTAATACATACTTAACTAGAATAATATCGTAAAGGGGATAATTTTTTTTGGCTTTTTGTGAAAGTGCCGAAAATGGTACGTATCGGTAGAACTAGCCATTTAGAGCAATAGTTAATAAAAAAAAACTACAAAGAAAACTTTTCGCACTATAATACAATTGCCTCAGCTACTTTATTCAATCGATATCTAGCAATATAGACCATTACTTTGCATTTCCTAGTACCTTTTTTTTTTTAAGGGGGGAAAATCATCGAATGACTGCTCCAGCCTGGGTGAGGCGGGAGGGAGTGTCAGACTCTTACTGACTAAAAACCACCCCGTTCCTTCTCCTGCACGTCGAGCCGGAGCCCCGGTTACCCGTTAGGTTCTCCGACAAACAAACTTAATTTCCTAGTACCTTAAGAAAGCAATAAATGTATGAAACTTCTTAATTTCCTAGTACCTTAAGAAAGCAATAAATGTATGAAACTTTCAGCAACGGCCCAAAAATGTATGGAGTCGAAATGATCTCTTTTATGATGTCATAAAAGTGGATTAATTGTTCATAAGGTCCATCTGTGAGATCCAAAGTAAGTATTGTAATTATGTAATTATTTTATTTTTATAATTACACTAAAGTTTTATGAGTTGTTAGCACATTGTTAGGTTCTTAGAGTTTACGTAGGTCGGTACCGTAAAATGTATTTCGACAAAATGAAACAAAAGATAGCATCGGGTACAAAAAGCTTAGGGACGACCCTGAATATTCAAACAATCACTTCCTCTAAGGTACCGACAATAAACCTTACAAATGTTCCTTGTAAAAACGGGCTCGCATTTAACAATACGATTTCCTTTGACCCAAAAGGATACTTTCGTAATAATTTAACATAAATAAAGGAACAATGTATTTAACTACACTAGTGCGCACTTTTTAAGGATTTTTTGAATCTATAGAAAACCAAAGTTCCTAATTACGTAACAAAATGAAAGAAATACATACTTTTTTTCAAGGGGGGAAAATATCCAATGACTGCTCCCGCCTGGGTGAGGCGGGAGCGAGGGTCAGACTCTTACTGACTAAAAACCACCCCGTTCCTTCTCCTGCACGTCGAGCCGGAGCCCCGGTTACCCGTTAGGTTCTCCGCGACAAAGAAATACATACTAGCGTTAGGTACTAGTAACTTACCCTTTACTTCGTCTGAAGTGTTTTTTTAATAAATTGGTCACACCTCTTTCTGAATTCTCAATAATAAAGAAGAGGAATACATCTCAACTGCCTACATTTATGAGTTAGGATTATAATAATAATTGAAGTACTTATACAAAAGAAAAGCAGCATACACAATAATAAAAAAAAGGTTTTATCTAAATCATAGTAGCTTTTGCTCATGACCAAGTCAGATGCATAGGCCGCAGTATAAGCATTAAGAAATATTTATTGCTTGGTTATTGCTCATTGCAGATGCATCTGGTGGCTTATAACCTACAATGAAACTTTGTTTAATAGTCACTAAGGTGTGTCTGTTGTTTATAAACGAATACAAATACTTTGTTTGAATTGATGGTGGAAATGAATGAAATTGTTATCCAGGATTCTCG